GCAAAATTTTCTTCTGTAGTCTGAAAATTCTGTGCAAATAAGATCAACCATTTTGAAGAGTAGTCTATCTATGGACTATAAATAAAACTATGTCATATCATATTGCATTTCACTGGCAACGGTAAATATTGCTATAGGTACATTAAAATCCATATTACATATAAATGTGTCACCGTGATATACTTACCTTAAATATATAATATATAAAACCAATTTACTAGAGGAAATAGACCTGTTAATAGTTTTATCTTTTGATATTCATCTTGTTTGTAATAAGTTTTGCTTGTTGTTGCTAAAAACAAGTTGAAATAAGTATGGAATTTTAAAAACTTGATATTTTACTTTGTAGGATAAAAAATAAGGCAATTCCAAGACTGTTTTTGTATATTCATCTCGTTTTATTTGTTCTTGAGGCATTTGTAGTATGATTATGGAAAGTCTATTTAACTCCAGTCTCTATTTGGTAACATTCGAGTATATCTGACAAAAACTTAAACTGTCACCTGCATTGGCGATACTTTCGCACCCAACAAAAGAAACAATGCTCTTACTTGACAATGTAAGGCGCTCGATACGTTCGATACAAGCGTGGGAGGTGTTTTCTTGATCAACGAATATTGGATCGGGAGCCAAAAAACACATTTTTAGTACCTCTATACTAGGAACTTCTTATGTCATAATGTTGCACCAATTACAAATAGCAAGAAATTTAACATTGGCATCAAAATAGAATTATTACATTAAAATGAATATTTATTTTATGTTTACGGTGTAAAAAGGAATCTAAAGCAGCTTTATGATGTTTTTTACGAACCTATTATAATTTATCTGAATCTGAATTTTAAATTCCATCAGTTTATCATTCATTCATGATTTACAACAGCCGTGTTGAATACAAAGGTGTTGTAAATCACATGAATACGCAATAAAATAATAAAGATGCCCTTAAAATTAAATTGCACTATCCATTTGTAGTCGTTCTTACTTGTCCCCAATCTTCTTTTAAGTCCAGATTTCCTAGAGTACCTATTAAACAGCGCTCGCTGTGCTTCAATTTATGTTAAGATTGTCAATTATATTCGGAAATATGAAATACTAAAATACTTATGTTTATTTAAAAGTATCTATAACCTAGAACCATTATAGCTTTTTAATTTATATAGCTTACTAGCATTGCCCGCGGCTCCGCCCGCGTTCAGCTGACCGCAAACCAAATTCTTAGCTTTTACATATTAGTATACTCTTACATTGCAGTTTTGTATTTTTTCTCAGAAATGAGTCATTTTCCCGCGGTAAAAAGTATCCCATATGTTGACCCGGATAACCAGCTATCATCATACCAAATTTCATCAAAATCCCTCCAGTGGTTTTTCTGTGATGCGGTAACAGACAGACAGACAAAAATTCTAAAAACTATAGATTCGGCCTCTGTATCGATAGTAATGTTTATGTCAGTAAGATTTTCCAAAAAATATTTAATGATTCGGCTTAGTTACAATTATATTAAATTATAGCTTATAAATATTATCTTAAGTACATGTAATTATATATCTTCAATTCAAATTTCTTGTTTTCTTGTGAATAATATATCTTATTTAGTATTCAATAGTATAATCTAAGTAATAAAAAATAAGATGAAGGTTTAATTTCGACATCAGGTAAAAACGGATTCATGCGAATTATTTTGTTCATCTCTATTTTATCTCATTGCCAACTGACCCAAATATGCAGCGCTAACTGTTCCCTCTCAAATGTTTATTGGTAGTTGTTTAAAATAACTCCCTATTACGTTATGAAAAGGTGAGTTTTAATATCGAGCGTTTAATACTTTTTCATATTTAACTTGTAGCATGCTGTATATTAACATATATGAGCATATAAAACTTATGTTGAATATATGTATGTATTCGTACCTATATTGCCTGCCTTTATTTTGGCTTAACAATGCAGGTAAACGAGTGAGAAATTCACACATTATTCCTCTATAATACGTTTATTACTTTAATACGCTTCGACTCGGCTATTAATTTAATTAAGACAAATAGAATATATGAATATTATAACAAGTTATATAAACAACTTTATATTTTTATTAGAAACAATAAAAAAATAAAAATATGTTTTGGACTTTACACTTATAAAGCCTGTAGTAGGTAAGTACTATGAGATACATAAATTATATTATACCTACTAACTCACAATAATGCTACAAAAATACCATTAAGTTGAAAATGGCACAGTAAAAGCTTCTGTTCTTCTCTTTTATAAAATGAATATGCCTTTTATTTACATATATATGTACTTATTATGAGGTACTTTAGCATAAGCAGGTAGGTACCTATACAAAAATGGTCGTGTTACGTTGTTGCGTAAGGCGTTTTATACATAGACTGGACCCATTCTTAATCATAAGTATTTGCCGTATATATGTATAATTGACAGCAGTGAATTCGATTTCTCAATAATAAAAGATATAGATACTTAGTTTTTGCCTACGGCTCCGCTTACCAAGTAAGTACGTCGATTAATGAAGACTAGGTATGTGTTTATCAAGGCGCTAGCAAGGAAACTATCTAATCTCCACTCCACTCCACTCCAGTTAAGTTCATTGATTTAACCGCTACAGCGTAGAAAATGAACAGACTCTTTCACAAACGTGATAAAAAATGGCTTAATGAGTATAGGTACACAATACTATTCAATTCTTCTTTAAGTTTAACTAAGTGATTGTACAGCTCGAGTCCCCAAAACGTAATCTGTTGATAGGAATGCCTATATAAATGTATATCTGCATTTGGCAGATTTTACCAGGGGTGTCGATCCATTGTGCGAACCCTCTTAGTCCCCCATCCGAAGGGGGTTAGGTAGACAGTTCAAACGAAACCGCGCCGCTGTAGATATAGTCAGTTTATACTTGAAGGCTTATTAATACTCTAATTTTTTTAAGGCCGGAATAAATCGGTCGAAATGCCGGATAATTTGTTTTGCTAAATATCCAGACGTTTAAAATCAATACTTTATCAGATTTTTGCACGAAACTAGATTATGTACTTAATACATATAAAATACATACGACTATTTCCTACTGTCGTTTGTACTATACCAAAGTTCACATAACTACATATTTAAAAATATTTGTCGGTTCTGTTTGCGTATTATATACCTAATATGATAACATCCGTAACGGCTATGCCGATTTTAACGGAAATTGTACAGACATATAAACGATTCAGGTGAGTGCTGCATGGGTTACCTTATTCTATATCGGTAAAGTAAAAGGGTTCTCACGGGATAGAGTATGAAAGGATAAAGTTTAATGGTTAACCACTTTCACAAGACAAACTGGTGTTTTGATTTAGATGCGATTGTCGTTTATGTAATTAAAAAACCATAAACCAAGAAAATTGTAACTAAGCCGAATCTGTACATTAAATATTTTTTGGAAAATCTTATTGAAATAGACATTATTATCGATACAGAGGCCGAATCTATAGTTTTTAGAATTTTTGTCTGTCTGTCTGTCTGTCCGTCCGTCCGTCCGTCCGTCCGTCCGTCCGTCCGTCCGTCCGTCTGTCTGTCTGTGTGTTACCGCATCACAGAAAAACCTACTGGAGGGATTTTCATGAAATTTGGTATGGTGATACCTGGTTATCCGGGTTTACATATAGGATACTTTTTACCGCGGAATAATATCTCATTTCTGAGAAAAAAATGCAAAAACTGCAATGTAAGAGTATACTAATCTAAAACCTAAGAATTTGGTGTTAGGTCATCTGAACGCGGGCGGAGCTGCGGGCAATGCTAGTATTTAATAAAGACAAATTGTTTCCTTTAAATAGGTCACAGTATTCCGCATGACGTTCTTGTCTATAATTTAAAATGACTATGTAATAGTCTAAGGATCATTACCTAATCTTCATAAACAAGACAAGATAGTTTCAACACGTGATGCACAAATAGCCCCTTCTGAGAAAGTTAGGACAATTGAATTAATGAAGATATATGTATACATTGCTCCGAGGGGATTCTGATGACGAACTCTAATATCTTTTTAACTCTTTGAAGCTTAAAATTGTTTGTAACTAGCGGTCCTTTGCCAGGCCTTGTGTTTAAACCCCAATACAATGGCACAATGCAATACGGTCATACCTACTCAAATCATATACTCAAATATGTTTATAACTGGCTTTCTAACATTGTTCTAAAATCAATTTTCAGTCAATCAATTGATTGTTAATTAAATGGTCGTTGTGGGGTAGGAGATGATTTGTAAAAACTCATTTGTCTAAAATATTGTCACACTTCGAAATTTTATTTACTAAAAAGAAGACATTTTTCTAACAAATCATGAAATCACATTTACATCACATTTTTCTTATTCAAAAGCTATTTTAAATAAAATATATTTTCTTTCAGCATTGAAAAAGTCTTTAGTATAATTAAACTATAAGTATATTTTGAGTTTATAAGATCCTTTATTTAAATCAAATGGCCACAAACTCCAAGGATTGTTTAATTTAGATAGAAACATAAAATTGAATCTGTAGATTGTTCAAGTTTGTGCTTGAATGTGAAGTAAAGCAAAGTCTGTATTATTGTCAAGAAAATACATAAATCATTCCCTAAAGCGGTTTTGCGACAGCATGCTAAAGGAAGGTGGGATTGTACAAAAGACATTCTATTTGTGTAAGATCATTATGCGCCAACACGCGCCTATAACTCTGTAACAGTATCTCACTCATTTCCGCTCGCACGCGGCACACCCTACTTCTTTAACGTCTTATTTATTATTAAACCATTAGTAGATATTTTGAAGAATATTTTTTTGGCCTATTTTAGATAAGGAATTCTAAGTCTTAACTAAATGAATGAACCTTGTACCATTCTTTTTTCATATTTGACTTTGGACTGTATTGTGGTATTCGTTTGTCAACAGATGATCACTATGATTTTATGAGAGCGTCGCGACCTATAAAGTCGCTTTGTTTCTCATCGTCGAGATGGAATACGCGCGCTTTGTGGCGTGCGCAGTACTGTTGCTGTGTCCGCTCGCGCTGAGCCGACACGATGACGACTTTGCTTTCGACAACAACGAGGAGTTTCAGGTCAGTCCCTCACATTTCTAAGTAATGTCTTGTATCACAAATTATGCAAACAATGCAACGAATGATAAACATCGCTATTGTTTTAAGTTATAAAAAAAATAAAGTTTTTGCATATAATAAGACAAAATAATGTACCGAATTTCAATTGTCTTTTATGCTGTGCGGCTTTGTTTTTTTTTCTTGTTTTGTATACAGCGGAGAATTCTTTGTAATTTAATATATTTAAATTTTCAGGTTGAACTGACAGCGAATCATTCAGAGATAGCAAAAAATGGCCTAAGGAGGTTATGGGGTGTTCCGGACACATCGGCCTACGTGGGACATCTATTCAGAATGGAAATCCCTAAAGAGGCCTTCTCCGGGGCCGTGTTAGCATATAAGGTGCCTTTTCTTTATTCGTTTTGCAAAATAGCTTTACCAATCGGCTATCTACTGCATACTGAATCAGGTTGGACCGTAAAAAGGATTTATTCTTCATTAAAACTTCACATAATATCAGCGTAGTAAGCTTGGAATAGCTTTTACTGCCACTGCGCCTGGTGTTCATCTTAAAATAATATTTTCTACTATGAAAGCACTTGTTTATATTTCATAGTGCAGGAAGAAAGTTGTACTACTTTTAAATTAATTCTAAAGATATAAACTCGGTGAAGCCATTATGTTATTTAAAACTTGTCTTGGTCTTAAATAATAAATTCTAGATACATACATCCTGTATACTTTCTGACTCCACGTCCGCTGCGATATTGTAAATTGTACTATTTCTCTGCGGATTAGCAATGTTGATTGTGAATGTGTTTTAACAGGTTAGGAAAGAAGATGGTCGGCATATGCCAAACTGGCTGGCTGTAGACACCAAGCACGGACTCATAACCGGCGTGCCACAAAAGCAGGATTTAGGCTCTCACGCCTTCACCGTAGTGGCTCACGGGCGCACACACGGACTGACAGCTACCGACTCATTCACTATTGAAGTAAGTAATAGTAAAAAAGTAAAAAAAAATATAGTCAAATTTTCCTGCACTAAAAATAAGAGATAACTGAGAATAGTGTTTCATCTATCTTTCTATCTATATATATATATAAAAATCAATTGCCGTTCTTTAGTCTCGCTAAAAGTCATAAACGGCTGGACCGACTTCAATAATTCTTTTTTTGTTTTGTTGGGATTGTGTCAGGAGTGGTTTAAGTATAAAAAAATAGGTAAACCCCATAAAAGGTTCAGAACTGTTTATTTTGTATGGGAATCACTACCTACTTCGAATTACTATCATTAGATGACGTTAGTGCGTCGTTTAATTTGGAAATAATATATGTATATATGATATAGTCTAGTCTATCTATTCCATACTAACTGTTAAAACGTACCTAGGGATGAACCCGAGTGAACCGAGGTTGAGTGGCTGGCTTGCAAAAGAAACCTAATCAAATATTTGTCAAATAATGAATCTAACATGAGGAAACGTATTATAAGTCAAACATGTCTTTTAATATTTTATATACTTTTTTCGATTGTTTTTACGCCACACCTTCTAATGTTTTCTGTTAAAGAAAGGTAAAAATAAACACTATAAGGTAGAAATTATTAAATATTAACTATAACCTTTCAGGTGAAAAGTTCGGATGATAAGCCACAATCTAAGTACGGAACTTGTGTTAATAACGAAAAAAGACTTGTATTGGCGATACTCATAGATAGCAGCTTCCACAAAATCTCGCCTCGTCAACGGATACGAGCGCTCATGGAACTTGCTAGTTTCATGGCGTTAGATGGGGTAAGTATTGATTAATTATATATTATAGGCTTATTGTAATACAAAATTACAAGATGTTTTTAATCCTTTCATCATATTTCTATATAGTCTATATAGTCTCTTCTTCTGTCCCTTACATCATTTTGCTGTTTCGTTATGATAAGAAGCCAAGAATTTCACAAACGTACACACTAACTGATATTTAAAACATAATGAGCTATTCACGTCGGGAACCAAAAATCAAAATTAATTCGCGAAAAAATCGTTTTATTTAAAATGTCAAATATTCGCGTAAATCTAAGAAAATATAATTTTAATTTAGTATGAATTATTCTTTGTAAGTTGCGAGCACTGTTTAAAAAAGTTACTTAATGTGTATTTAAATATAAATGCGTGATATAAATTAAAACCTCTAGTAATTGTTTGTCTATCTTTAAATTTCATTATTGGTATCTTTATAGTTTTTTATGACAAATTCTTACATAATTCTTACATCGCAAAAAGTCGAGTGCTTTGTTAGCGTAGCACAATCATTGGTGTTAAGTTATTACAATATACATAAGAATATAAATATTTTCCATTCCGTAGCTTAGGGAAATGCGCGAAACTAAATATTTCTTCATAATACTAATATTATAAACGTAAAATAGTTGTAGCTTTTAATCAATTTTCACACGAGTACAAAGCAACAAATCGATATTTTGCCGTACATATTTATAGGCCAGAGAGCGATTACTTACTTTTTATCCCGATACATCGATTCGTTCCCATGGATATTAATCTATAACAAACAATTCCCCAGTAATACAGAATGAGGCAGGCTGCCATAAAAATAAATTATAGATATGTTTATTTTGTATTCTATACATTTGCTTTTGAACGATTTTAAAGTTAAAATAGTACAATGAAAACTATAAAACGTAGATCATTCATTAAAAGTGAAATATCACCGGTATAAAAAGAGTTTTCTCTTTCCATTCTAATGAATGAGAATGTACTTGCGTGGATTAAACTTGAGTGTATAATTTTAAAAGGATACGTGCGCCCGTGACTAGATTTCTAAAGTACCAACCTACAATGGTTGATGGCGTTTAGTGTCTATAAAAGATGCGGTTAATGTTTTAGTGAAGTATAACATGTATTTTTCATATACAAACTCTTTTTATGTGTAAATGTAACTCATATTATATATTTTCAAAAGGCTCTTTGAATGGTTTGTTAAGTATATATCATACTAAAATTATAAATGTTAAAGTTTGTAAGGATGTATGAATGTCTGGATGTATAGATGTATGGATGTTTGTTACTCTTTCACGCAAAAACTACTGAATATATTTTAATGAAAGTTTACAATAATATAGCCCATACATCAGAATAATAGGCTACTTTTTAACCCGGAAAATTGTACGCGAAACCGAGCGAAACGAGGTTGAGGCGCTAGTGTTATTATATTACTATGCTACTAAACATATTATAAGTTGCTACGCTCTAATTTTTACTCGTGGAACTAATCAAGTTTAGAAAATGAATAACGTGCCAATAATAGGACCGGATCTACCTAGTTCTCTCAATAAACTTCCCGATATACGTGAGCTTGCGTGAGGAGGTCGCATGTTTACGAGCATTACCTTTATTGCGAGCTTTTAAAACCCGTTACAATGTCGATATTGAGTGTGTAATAACTACCTACTTCGCACCAATTATTTAACTTTTTAATACATTTTTAATTATGTCATAAAATAACATTTTGTATTTAGAACTAGAATCATGTGTGAAACCACAAACTTATACTTCAGCTCATTAATGTATACACAATAAAACGTTCGAATATCTAACGGAATGCAAAGCATTAAAAATTCTAAAACTAAAATAAGATAGCTAATTAGTACCTAATTATGAACAAAATAACGGCCCTATAATGTATTTAAAATGACGGCTAATATTTTATGCGAATATTCTATACATATAATAAAATTCTAAGATGAATCTTTACATTAAATATTTTTTGGAAAATCTTATTGAAACAGTCATTATTATCGATACAGAGGCCGAATCTATAGTTTTTAGAATTTTTGTCTGACTGACTGTTACCGAATCACAGAAAAACCACTAGAGGGATTTTGATGAAATTAGGTATGGTGATAGCTGGTTATCCGGGTCAACATATAGGATACTTTTTACCGCGGGAAAATATCTTATTTCTGAGAAAAAATACAAAAACTGCAATGTAAGAGTATACTAATATGTAAAACCTAAGAATTTGGTTTTTGGTCATCTGAACGCGGGCGGAGCCGCGGGCAATGCTAGTATTTCAAATATAGGAGAGTATTCTCGAGTATTACAACAAAAAGTTTATTTGTAATGTGTGTTTTATAGGATGAATTTTGGATGGAGCCATACAAAGCAGAATCAGCGAAATCTCATACAGTTCTTATGAGCGGAGCGGGCACTACGAAACGAAGAAAATCCGAAGCAACCACTGCTATATACTTGAATGTTAGTATGAAACACAACATTGCAATTTTTCAACCTATTCCTATATTGATATTAGGAGCCCCCTACAAAAAGTTTTGAAAACCGGTCAAGAATGGTGAAAAGGTCCATACACTTTTCACCTTTTTTTTTAATTTGCTTTCATAAATATTATTTCCCGTTTTTTTGTCTTTTTCTTTGCATTTTTTTTTATCAATGGTTTTTATTTAACCTAAATATTTAATATATAAGCGAAAAATCAAAATGTATATTAAGGTTATTGAAGACCAGACACACTTGTATTTGTTTATAGTATTGTGCACCACATTATCTCCTCCGCACATGGTTGGTGTCAGTGAGTATGACCTGAACTCGATATGGAGAACTTCGTATAGATGGAAAAAAAGCAGAAAGAACATCGAACAAAACGAGAAAAAAGTTGCATCATAATTGCGTAGCTGTAAAAATTAAGGAGAATATTTTTTCTTTTACTTTAGGTGGGTTGCGGTGAAAAGCTCTGGTCACGTCACAAAGTCCTGGTAGCTGGGTTAAGAGAACAGTCACGTGATGGAACACTCCATCAGATTCTACGTTTACCAATACTCGGCTGGAGACTGATTGGTATTAAACCCTTACCTCGACACAAGCGACAGGTAAACATAAATTAAACTCTATATTTTATATTAGTCTATTTATTAATTATTATCTGTAGCACAATCTCAAGTAAATACTTTACAGATATATCAAAACAAATAGGAAACTTACTTTTATTTAATTTTTAAATTGATCTTTCCTGTAGTTATAAGTTTGAAGTTAAGTTAAAAATGAAATTGTCTTTTTAATGTATAAAGAATTTTAGTATACGTTGTGCTAAAAATACGAAAATACTCAATGAATAAAAACTACTATATAATGCAATCTGATGGTGAAAAGAAAATTACGACCGTGATTAAGGTATGGCAGTCATGTGTGGTTGAGTATAATAAAAGCCATTGATTTCTACGATATTGATGAGCACTTAATAAGTATTTTCGTTGTTAGCGCCTCCCAGTTAACATTACTTCTTTTTCACATAACAAAGAAACTTTAATGTTCAACTTGACAAAACTTGCTAATCATTATTTTTTAAACTTTTATTATTACTAAGAAGGTTTAACTAATTTCCAGACACCTCTCGACGAAGGGTCCGGCCTGTCCTACGACATGTACGACGAAGAGAACGACGACCAATACAGTGGATACGACGAAGACGACGAAGGAGATGACTACACTAACATAGACGTCGGGCCCGTGCCTGATATCGTGAGTAACGATCATATATTTATTCTATATGTGTTGGCTTCATAATATGTGTATTACGCGTTGAAATAAAGTATACATATATATTGTTAAATTAAATAAAAAAATATATTACTTCAATTATTCGTATTGGAAAGGTAATATATGTATATATATGTCTTTTGTTTTATGAGTCTAAAGTTCTAAACTAAATGCATAAGATATAGATATATTACTCTTTATTTTAACGTGACAAAGAAGCAGTGAAATAAGTATTAAAAAATGTGTGTGGGGAATAAATTCAAATGTAAATAAGGATGGCTTTCAATGTAACCTTTGCACTTGGTGATATTTGACCGTTGACGTAATAAAAACGATGTTTGTCTTTTCATAATGATTGGGTTTTGTTTACAAACTAATGGGATCACTAACAAAAAAATAATAATCTTATTATCTATGTTCATAATATTTGATTTATTCATGTAATTCGTTATAATATCTATTGATCGTTCAATATTGCATGTATCATTTTATAGTCTGGCAAAGGCTTAAGGAAATAAAAATATATACTAATATATACATGATAATTTTCATTTTATTATCTGTGCCAGGCTATAAAATATAAAACCCGATTAGTCATTTTTTGTCATGATACATGTCATGCATAACCCCTAGTTTGACTGTTTCAAGAAATCCTATCATGTTGCATCCATTTATTCATTGGAATATCATATTTATTTTTCACAATCATCTCACAAAATTTATTATAAAACTAGAATAATTAGTATATTGGAAAGGTTAAGTGTTATGTAGGGTCCATCAAGATATAGACCGGTTTCCAATGAATAACTTTTATTTTGTTAAGTTTCAATTTTATTAACAAAAAGCCAAACCATATTATTTCAAACTGAGCTAAAAAAACAACTATTTGCTTTATTACTTATCTTATTTACTATAAAAAATTCCAGAAATGTTAGCATTTTAGTATAATGTATGTATATTCGTAATAAAAACTTGGACATAAGTAAGTCCCAAATCTAGCCAATTTTATTTCTAGTCTATAAAGTGAAGATGATTTGAAATGTTAATAAAATTGTATGTAGTATGAAAGTCTTGCACCCAAAAGAACACTGCCTCATGTAGACATATACCTACAGGGAACCACTGCATGGAATGTTAAGCAATCTATCCAACTTACTACCAACTTTATTTTTACAATCAATAAACTCTAACAAAAGTACTGCAATAAAATTCAATCCTCTGGTTCCTATAATAAATTCTGTAGAAATTTAAATAAAAAATCAGTTATTTTAATATTAGGTCAATACAAGTATATCTGTTCATTTATTTATTTTATATTTCATATTCAACTGTTATGGTCATGTAATACTACTTCCATCATTATCTTTCACATCAAACTCTCAATCCATCATTTACAGGACATTTCTATTAAAGTACATCTTACAGAACTGACTTTGTTCATGGTTATTTTGTATGGTGCTAAAACACATTGATGCATTTTTAAATGTTTTATTGTTAATAATTTGTATATAAATGGAAAACCACTGACAAAGTTTTGGTAAGTAGTACATACATAGGTAGTGATACAAATCGATAGAGTACTAAACAAAATCCTTTCCTAAAACACTTAAAACTATAACCGAAATACTCTTTAATATTAGCAATGTTACATATTATGCAGTCATATGAGTAACATTGCTGGTATAAAACTGGGTGGCAGTACTAACGTAGTGTGTACCGCGTGGCGGCAGGTGGAAACCCCCAACCCCCCGCACCCTCACCGCCACCACCACGGCCAGCCCGACTTCGCGCCACACACCACCACCGACACGTTTCAGACCGAGCCCACCGACACGACGACGCCGTCCACGCCCCCCACCTCCCAATCCCCAACGACCCCCCTAACGACCCCAACCCCTCCGCCCCCCACCACCTCTCAACCTTCCCCGACGACAGAACCCTCGCAAGCTGCGACGCTTTCAGAGGAATACACGCGCACGGAGACCCCCGACTCTGCCACTACTAATACGTATACCACGGAGGTTTGTCGTAATCTCCAAACTTCGATGCATGTATCGTGACTTTGTCGTGTGATTGTGTGGTGGTTTGTTTATTTGTTCTGTCTTTCCACTTTGCACGTTTTGCGCGTTGTTCGTCGCTGGAAGACTCTTCCCAACTGCAGCTGGGATTAAAAATTGCCAGACTCAATGTTGCATGACGTTTATATCGCTCGTGTATTACCAGTTTAATTACAAATAATTTTCATTTTCTTTTTTAACGCTAAGAATTACTAACTTATTTTTACTTTTTATCATTTTTTAAATCTTTTCATTCTAGTTGATATTAGAAGGTACCTTGGAATGTTTAGTATTGTTCTTATTTTTGATGCCACATAATAGTTGCATTTTACTAGTCTGCATACATATTCTGCATTTAGTCGCATAAAATTTGGTATTTTAAGTAATTTTTAACTTTAGACACAGTAGATTCCGTTTTTAACACAAAGATTGACCTTTAAAACTTGGTTTTATTTAACATTATGCTACCCTTACACAGGAACACAAAGTGAAAATCACTCCGTACTCTGAATCTGCATCGGAAGCCACCAACACAATCAATGTATCAAAGGATGCTGTGGACCCACGACGTTTCCAAGACCACGTCCCAATTGTAATAGTTCCTGAAGATATAACAACATCAACGGAACCCGAACTGGTATGTTATAAGTTATGGTTGATATAATTATTTTTTTTAATATCACGATCTCAATCTAACTCACATTCTGTAGAAGTTTGACGAACACTAATTTTTACTGTCTTGTGTGGGTGTGGATTTTCTTAACATGGGTTAGAATAGAAACGGACGCCCATTTCGATTCACATTGTAATTTAATCTGTAAATACATTGAACTAATCTGAAGGACGTTACGGCAACTATTAATTTCATATTTAAGATAAATATGTACATATTTTTTGGTTTTTGTACAATTCTAGCCAAAAAAATGTATTATTCATTAATACTTAACGTGCAATGTTGCCTTCACGTCTGTACATCACATCACGTTGTGAGCGTCCGCATGGCACTTTCAGCAAACCGTAATAATACGCGAGTCCAACGAAGTACCGGTGTCATCGGAAATACCGTCGACGCAGCCCACGACTGAGGAAACTTTGACAAGTCCATCAACAACGTCAAGTACAACAACGTCCACGACAACGACAACGGAAACGACATCCACTTCGACGACAACGACAACCCCGCCACCCGTTACCATAGTAACCGTACCAACAACGATTCCTACAACACCTACCCCCGAAGTTACGACAGAAGAAGTAACCAAGCAGGTCTGTGAAGATATGGTTTTTGCATGTCTCAATATACAAGCAGATTTTAATGGATTTTTTTTAAAGAAGTCTTTTATAATGAATAGGTTATATTATAAATTTTAGGCGATGAACAGAAGATTTTTTGTAAGTACTGTGTGTATGTATATAGCGTATCATTATCCGTTTTTAGAATTGATTGGTGGTTTTTTTGGTATGGAATTGGCTTTACTTCATTAACCTATTACGGTTGATTTTCAAAATTCAAAATTTATTTCTTTTTGAGTTTAAAAAGTTTTTTATTCCTTTGAATTAATACTTAATAAAATAATTAAATCTGATTTTTAGCACTTAGTTATTCATGAAACCTCACGACATAGCACAGATCAACAGCTAAACTAACATAATCAAATGTAAACATTGTTTTTTTATAATATAAATTATGTATAATATAATCATATAAATAAGTTGAATTTGTTAATTTTATAGGAAACATTAACATCGACGGACAGAAGCAGCACCATAATAGGCAGAACAACAGAGACTGTTCCGTTCACTCTACCCGTCAACCAGCCCCCTACACTAAAGCATCATATGAAAAAGCTCGCCATCACTGCCGGAAAGGCATTTAGGTAAAAAAAAATTATTGAACACAAAATAATAAAATTTAAACGTAAATTAACCATACTTAGAAAAATCACAACATTGCATTTCAACGTGTATTAGTAATGCTAAGTTATACGGTTGCAAATTATCATGTCCTGGATTCGAGTCCGAGTCACTTAATACTAGACTGATATTCTGTTTAAGGAATACTTTTGCGTTAGATAATTTGGGTTTTCATCCGGTTTAACCAAATGAAAAATTGTAGTAATTAGAATATGTAAGAAATAAACATTTTGAAATGAATTCGATACAGAACCAAAGCTATCGACATAACCCAAAGAATTAGTAAGCTGAAGTGGCAATGAGCTTTTAATGTTACATATTATATGGTGTTTATATGATTATTTATTTTAGATATATCATCCCTGCCGACCTGTTCACTGACCCGGAGGAAGGCAGTAATCTAACATTCACCATGTACGAAGCCGATAACGTGCCGCTGAGCAAAAATTCTTGGATACAGTTTATTCCAACTGAAAGAGAGGTCTATGGATTGTAAGTAGATAAATAAAAATATACATACGTTATTTATCAATTCATATGTAATTAATAATATGTACCTACATAATTTTAAAGCGCTCTCAATGCGTGTTTATTACGAACGCAAGCAAACTGTAGTCAGCATTTTTAGAAAGTAGTGTGCATAGCTATTTATTTGTAATGAGTGCGATTGCACAACAAATATTATTTTTAAAGCTTGATAAAATTTCAAAATGGCCTATGCATTGCCACGATGAATCCAAAAGAAAGATACGCCACCTAGACCAAATATACATTTGCTAAATATTTCATCATTTTTCTTCTATTTTATCTCTCTCTCTCTCTCTCTTTAGGCCACTCGAGGCGCACGTGTCTCGCTGGAACTTCATAGTAGAAGCGCAAGACAGCGAAGGACAAGTCGCTAGAGGGCCTCTAGACATCACAGTACAACAGCACAAAAGCGGGCGTACCATCAACCACCAGTTCATCATGCAGTTCAAACTTCTCAAACAATACACTACGGCAATAGATTGGCAGATTAGAGCCCTGGAAGGCATAGTCAATCTATTCAGGGACACTGATATGGATCATTTGACAGTGTTAAATGCGACACAAAATGGCGATCTGTACGAGTTTGTTTGGACTAACGATACTCTGCCCAAAGACCCGGCGTGTCCTATGGATGATATCAACAGGCTTATGAAGGTAAGGAAATAAGTAGTATTACAATTTATTTTTCCTGCAATTGGCATGAATTCGAGTTAGGATTCGAAGAAAAAAGGCAAAGTGAAGGAAAAAAAAGAAAAGTCATACAAGTGCTATAAAGATTCCAGATAACATGGTTAATTAGAAGTCATTTGATTCTCACCTATTGTATGAATTTTTAACTCTAATTATCGCAGGCATAATCTATGCACAGGTATTGGTTTTATATCGTGACTAGCGACTCACCCTCGCTTTGCTCGGGTTCGTCCATAGCTTGCTTCCCAATACAAATTTTCATCCCCATTTTCACCCCCTTAATGGATGATTTCCGGGATAAAAATTATCCTATGTCCTTCCCTGGGTCTCAAACTATCTTCTTACCAAATTTCATCTAAATCGGTTCTGTAGATCCAGAGCTGTCCCCCCTACAACGTCACAAACTCACAAACTTTACCTCTTTATAATATTAGTATGGATTAATATTTTTTGACAACTTTTACTTTTAGTCTCACCTACTGTATGAATTTTTACTGTGCGATAATAATTAATCTATGCACAAATATTTAAAATAATAATAATAATAAATCATTTATTTCAACCATCAAAGGATCATGTTTTGTTAGTAAAGACACACAATAACCTAACCGGATTGTTCGATATTGGCTTTATCTCTTCTTCTTCGTGTACTTTATTACCAGGCCCAGATCTGGGGGGGGGGGGGGGCGTAAGCTGGGGCCCTTGCCCCGGGCGGCAAATTCACAACTAACGCAACTTTGACCACTGAGACGTCCAGTACTTTAAGTACAATAATAATAATTTTTAAGTACAATAATAAAAAAGAACTTATCTATATTTATAATAAAATTGTAACTAAGCAGACTCTGTACATTAAATATTTTATGGAAAATCTTATTGAAGTTATCGTTATTATCGATATAGAGGCCGTATCTATAGTTTTTAGAATTTTTGTCTGTCTGTTACCGCATCACAGGAAAACCACTAGAGGGATTTTGATGCAATTTGGTATGGTGATAGCTGGTTATCCGGGTCAACATATAGGATACTTTTTACCGCGGGAAAATATCTCATTTCTGAGAAAAAATACAAAAACTGCAATACTAATATATAAAAACTAAAAATTTGGTTTTTGGTCATCTGAACGCGGCGGAGGTCCAGGCAATGCTAGTTTTATATAAATTCAATTTTTCGCGTGGCGGGTGGGCATAGGTCAACAACCGCGCTGGTAGTCCAGCCGAGTTGCAGTCTGCAGCCTTTTGTTTATCAGCGCGCGGCCGAAAATGCTCGCTTCAGCACTTTTCTACCTTCAATAATTTTTTTCTCAGCATCTATTAGTGATAGAAACTTCCGGTTTGCTTCAGTTTGTTCAATATTGTTTTTCCAACGCCTATGTATACTAAATAATTTGTCTTGATAACTTCTCAATAGTTTTCGAAATATTTTAATTAACATCTTATTTTCTTATAAAAAAAATAGTGGCTAATCAAAATAAATCATTTTTTTATTTTTATTCTTCTGAACTCAAATATAAAAATATATATAAAATTTTCCATTTCCGCCGATAGTGTAGTTAAAGTTCTATTGTAAAGTTTCATTAAAATCCAATTAGTAGTTTTTGTGTACTAATGTGTGTAAAGTGTGTGAAAAATGTACGGTTCCCGTGAGATAGATTTGTTTTTGTTTGTTTGTGTAGCTACACAATAATTTTGTCAGTTTGTCTAATTGCCTGTATGTCTGTTGGTCTGTTTTTGTGTGCGCGTTTCTCGCGAAAAGTAATAAACCAATTTCAACGAAATTTGGTGAAGTGATAACTTATTACTCGAGTCATCATTTAGGATACCTTTTACTTTAAGAAAATCTTTGTTTCCCACGGGAAATTAAATAACTGGTTTTATCGTGTCCCCCCTAGAAACTTTCCGCTGGCTAAATATTACTAAATTTAATAAGTTATGTGCGCCATAGATTTCTTTGCAGAACAAAAGGCTCGAAGAGTTAAACAATAGGTAATTTCAATTTGCAATACAATAATATACTAAATTGATTTTTTTAGTCTTGATAATGTATGTAAATAACAAATATGTCCTACACGTCCATGTACATACGTACTTTTGTAAACTACCAAAACCCGCGGCTTCGCCCGCGTTCAAAATACAAAAAAAAACGGGCAGGGGCGGCATTTTTCAGTCTTTGCCCCGCCTCGAAAAAATTGAAGATCCGGGGCTGTTCATTATTGAAGGTCGTGTTTGTCCTGCAATGCTTTCACCGATGCCTCGATTAGCTTCCCCCACACCACTCCGTCCTCGGCTTGTCTCAGGGCAGTTGGAATATGGAGTCCCGTTATATTTTAAATCTGGTCGGACCAGCGCACATAGGAGTATTTGACTGATTTGGCCGGCCAAAACTTTTTATTTATTTTAATCAATGATAATGATGCTCATGGGTAGATTTTTATCAATTCAATAGATTTTTATGGATTAACATGAAAATAAAATCATTTTTACTGTAATAATATCTATTTTATTTATTTATTAATATAATGACAATTTCTTAGCAAAAAACCAGGATAAATTACTTAGCTAGAAGAAGACCACGGTTCTTCTTCTGAAGAACCATAGCCTGACATCGTATCTAATGATGACTCATCATCATCTTGTATAATATCAGGCTTAGCGGAAAGTAACAAACCTATCGTTTCCTATTTTTTTTATTAAATATATATGTAAGGTATACACACTTACCTGTTCTATCAGAATCCATAGCTTTCACTTTATTTTATTTTCTAACAAATATATAAACGCAATCTAAACTTTCGTTTACGCATCGAACATCCAATGCACTCAAATGAACGATCGAGTTTGGACTGACCATCTCGCATGGTAATTCTGAAGGAGAAATAATGAAGTATTGCTTACGTTTCTTAGAACTATCAGCTACCTGAGTATCCTTTTTTGTCAACCTGCTTTGAATTTTAGGAAATTGACTTTCGGCCGGCCAAATCACTCAAATACCCCTATGTGCAGCGGGTAGGTACTTGAAATTGGTTTTATTTCGTGACAATAATTTTCACAGATTATGTCTTCGGACACGGAGAGTGGCAGTCCGTCGGCGGGGCTGGCGCGCGCCATGTCACCGGAGCTGAAGGTGTCGGAGGTGGCGTGGCGCGGCGCGGGGCGCTGCGCGGGGCCCGGCGCTGGGACCGGCGGCGCGCGCGCGCCCGACACCTACCCGCCCGTCACGCGCAACCAGGTCGACCACCTCACCGCCACCGTGGGCCATCTGCTCGTCTACAAGGTGCCGGAGGTGCGTGTACTTTATTGTTCACTAGCAACATTTTATCCTTAAGAGATAGACATAATTCGTTGGCTCACAATTACAAGGTTCTATGTTACAACTTTAGTACTTATTTAGTTATTAATGCGACAAGGTTTTATGTGTCATTAGCTACAGTTTTACAAAAACAGACCACTAGATAGCGGCACTATAACTACAAAATATTCAATTTTACATAGTTCTATGTTATTTTTTTTACGATAACAAAATAAAGAAGTTCTATGTAAAAATTACTAAACTTTATTAAAATTAACATAGAACCTTGTAATAGTGAGCCAACGAATTATGCCATCGCGGACTTTTCTGTAGACCTATATGAGATACACAATTCCACCATATATTATTTTGTTATATATCAAAGGGTTTAGGCAGCGTTTTCGTTGAAAGCTCCCATACTGCTCATTTTTTTCCGACACCAACAAATATCGTTATATTTGTTACCTATATTTTAGCCAATGTATACAAAAACTTAACAAATTGTATACTAAGACCGAGTTTATCGTGAACAAACAGACAGACAGACGCGATGGAGGACTTTGTTTTATAATATGTAGTGATTCGTTCGTTCGCTTATTAACATCCTACTGCTGGACATGGACTCCTGGGTAGTATATTTTATTAGTATTACCGTTTATTCATTTATTATATATATTTCCTCACTATATTTTCCTTCATCATAGAATAACGAAATTTCTTAACTAACAAAAAGTATGTATACGCTATAAATACTTTTTGTTAGTTAAGAATTTCCAACAAAACCCGTTATTACCGTAATTAAATATCAAAAAATTATACCTTTCTAAATAGTTAATAGTACTCAGTACTTAAAAATTCTTCTTTATATTGATATAACTCTATTAATACTACCGCTTATCTAGCGTCTATTCTGATTCATTTAATTTATACATGACTGTTGATAAACCATTAGGCACAGATAATACCATACATAAGTATAAGGACAGCGACATACATATGTATGTATGTATGTTCTAATTTTCAAATAATTATTTTAATAAACACCCAAAATCGCATAGTTTTAAGATTTTTTTAAAACAAGCTATTATTCTTATATAAATGAAATGTTCAAAGCTGCATTTTTTATATTACAGGATACATTTTTCGACCCAGAAGACGGCAGCACGCGCAATTTACACTTGTCTCTCAAATATAGCGATCGCTCGGAGTTACCTTCAAATCACTGGTTGCAGTTCGACGCACGGAACCAGGAGTTTTATGGACTGCCTACCAGTAGCGATGAAGGAAGCGTACATTATCAGCTGGTAAGATAATACTAATATGTACGTAAATAAAGTTTAAAATTGCTTGTAATATTTCTATTTGAATAAAATTTCATTTCAATAAACTTCAACTTGGTATACTAAAGCTCTTTTTAATAAGGTCGTACAAAAGCTTGTGATTAAACTTTATTATAATTATTTTATTTTATGTTAAATTTAAATAAATACTGCTTTTTTATTAATTAATATCTTTAACTTTATTTTCTTTGTTTTTTTTTTAATATTGTGTTTCCTATCCAACATAATATATATAATAGCTCATTACTAGGTTCTACAAATTTCCACATCATATAGTTTGTTAATGTATGTTGGTAAATTTAACTTTATTTGTGTCTCAATATATTTTTTTGGCGTATTAAAGGAAACCAATCTAATTCCAGATCGCCGAGGACTCTACCAAGAAGAGCGCCTACGATAGCCTGATAGTGGAAGTGGCGAAGGCGCCGACCATCCGCCCCACCGTCGAGTTCCAAATGACAATGGACCCGTCGCCCAACCTCGTCGACAGTGCGAATTATAAACGAAAAGTCGTAGAGAAGCTGGCAGCTCTGTTTGGACAGAAAGAGACGGATAATATCAGGATACAAAGTATAACGGATAATCCTACTACGATTATATGGTACGTTCAATTACGAAGTAATGGTTTAAGCATGTTTTTAAAAAATTATCAAAGTTACTACTTAAGTACTATCATATATGTATGCGTTTGTCTGTTTCTCCTTCACGCGAAAATAGCTGGATGGATTTAGATGAAGTTTAGTATATATTACAATTCACGACACGTTTGGCTCAGTTTGTAGTGACCCTACTTGCTGTGCCAGCGGTCGCGGGTTCGAGTCCCGCTGGGGGCATTCATTTGTGTGATGAGCACGAATATTTGTACTCCAGTCATGGGTGTTTATATTTATAATATGTATGTATTTCAAGTTATTTATGTGTAATGTATCAACTATCTGGTATCCATAACACAAGCCACGTAGCTTACCAAGGAACTAGATAGTGGCGTGTGTTTATGTCCCAACATATTTATATTTAAATAGTGTATAACCTGGAGTAACACATAGGCTGCCTGTTACTATACTGTTAGGCACCTAAAGACGTATCAGAGCGAAGCGAGGGTATGACGCTGGTATGTATCATAAGGTGTATTCAGCCCCTTTTTTAACGTCTCACTGCTGGGCGCGGGCCTCCGTGCAATGTGAAGGGGATCAGACCATAGTCCACCACGGTGACCAAGTGCGGGTTGGCGGACGTCACATGTCTTTCGAGAACTTGTTAGGTTCTCTCAGACATGCAGGTTTTCCTACGATATTTTCCTTCAGCGTAAAACAATCATATTAAAAATGATTCGCAAATAAAAATATCAGAGGTGCGAGATCCGGGATTTGAACCCGTTTCACTCGGTTTTCCAAGGGATCGCGTTACCACTGGTCTACCACTGCCTCGAATAAACATCATATATCATAAAATAAATAGACTTAGTATAATAAAATAATATCTTTCCTTCAGGTACAACACAAGCTTGCCAATGGACAGATGTCCGCAACGAGAAATCGAAGAGTTACGAAGAATGATAATAGTGGACGAGCGAGGCGCTGTCGGTGGAAATCTAAAAGATCACGTCGACCAGATATTCGATAAAGATTTAAAGGTCATGTCCATTCGTCTCATACCTCTAGGACTTTGCGCAGAACAAAATACCAAAGTACCTAAAGCAATGGTCCCGGTGCACACCGGCACCAATTTGCAGAATAAAGCAACAAATGCCAGTCCGGAATATTCAGATTATTTGGTCACTTTCGTCATACCTGCTGTTGTTATCGTGTGCATGATTGTTGTAGCGGGCATCATCGCCTGCGTGCTCTATAGGCGGCGGCGTACAGGTGAGAGTTCATTCATACGTTTTAATATCTAATTAAAAGGCATATTTGTAATAATAATAGTATTATTTATTTTACTAACGAAACTCTTACAATATATAGTTAAATGTAAGTAATTTTAAAGCTTCAATTTTTTATTTATATAGATAATAATATTTTATTTAATAGATGAAATAGTTTTAAATGATATTTTTAATGGAAATATTTTAAACTATAGCGGATGCAAATTCTTGACAAGAACAAGGTGATTCATTACTTAATATTGTAGAGCACTCAAATCATTATTTATTATTATAAGTATTTATTTTATACTTCTACTCGCTCTTTTTGTATTATAGATATTATATTCGCTTAATAAAACAACATAATATTTGCACTTAACTGTTTTCAACTAGGCACTTGCACAGTAAGACTAGGGATCTTAAACTTTAAACGCCACTTTAGTTGACTTCAAAAATACGCGTCTCTTTATACTTGTGTATAGTGATGTTACGTATAATCATCGATCAAAAAAGTACTAGATACACAATCAGCGACAAAAAATGTCCACGCCGAATGAGCGCTCATTTGAATATTTGAGCGCGCTTTTATTTTATTTTTATTGAGAAAACAACTTTAAGCATTGCATTTAAGGTTGAATTTACATTGTTGTATATTTATTTGAACTAGAATAATTACCTAAACACAATTGGTGACAGTTTTAAGAGAACTTTTGCATGGGATTGTGCATCTAGTACTTTTTTGATTTGCGGCTAAAAAATAATATCAATAAAGCGATTACCAGGGTGAACCTTTTTCATTTATTGTTTTGTATTTTTTGAAGTTGATTAATGTATAACATTAAAAACAAAAAAAATGCCACATAATAAAATACACATATTCCAACAAACAGGCAAGATGAGCGTTGGCGACGAAGAAGAGCGTCAAGCGTTCAGATCCAAGGGCATCCCGGTGATATTCCAGGACGAGCTCGAAGAGAGAGCTGATGCTGAGCCGGCGGATAAGAGTCCAGTGATCATGCGAGAGGAGAAGCCCCCCCTCCTGCCCCCCGCCCCCGAGTACCGCGACGACGCGCCCTACCGCCCGCCCCCGCCCTTCACCGCCACCCGCACCCCCCCGCGCCCCAAAGCCACCCCCACCTACAGGAAACCCCCGCCGTATGTACCCCCCTAAAACCCTAACACCCTATTAGCGTAGAAGCTTTGATATATTAATACAGATGTTGAATGTTGTTGGACGTTAAAGGCGTAATTTTATAGAGTACTTATTTAAAATATCTTCTTCATTTTATCGTATTTTCACTTTTGCTATTTTTTACTGCTGGTGGGTGAGTATATATATATATATAATATTTTGAGATGAGTTACGCCTTTTATGTCCTGTATACTATACAGTGTAATCGTTGGGGACTACATATTTACCTAACAAAAAGTGAATTTGGTAAAACAAAGTCAATAAGCAATTAGGTACACAATTTAAAAAATGTGCATGTGAATTATAATTTAATATGTCGGAGTATACAAATACTATATTTTTATTTGTGTCCATACTATAAAATCACACGTACACATGTATGTAAACACGCCAAAAGGGTCTAATCAAATCAAAAACTATATTTTAAAGTCTTATATACAAAAAAAACTAGTCGAGTCATTCTTTTGCAACTCATTCGATGTCACTTTCAATTACTTTGATCAGCGCATAGTATTTTTTACAAGCATTTAAAGAAAGTAAAATTATGGATGCATTTATTACGAAGAATATTATAAATGTAAGATAACTTGAACAAACCTCATATCCACTAAAAAGGAATTGTGCACAATTACAATGTGGCTACGAATTTCTTGTATTTTAAGTGATATCACGAAAGTAGTTTGTGAGGTGTAGTTGTATTGTAATTGCAGTATGTTTATGGTTGAAATTTAAATTATATAAGACACTTGTAGTGTTGCCAGTGTCTCATTTGTATAATTATTTATACTCTAATCTACTACATTATATATTTTGTAATATTAATCTAAATTCAGCTTGAATTATGAATGTATTAGTAAGTTATATATTGGATAGGTCTATGTTTACATCGAAACAATAAATATTTTTAGACCTGGCAACACTAAGCACATAAATGCAACACTAGACTGTTGACGTAGATCATGTTACATTAGCACTGTATATCATTGTTAAGCAAATATTGTCATTTATAACTAACAGAAACTGAATTAAGTGATGTGATGAAATGAAAGAATTCAATAATATAAACATACAGTACATAATATACATATAATAAGGCTAGACCAAAAACAGTTCTATACGCGTGTTGGCTAAACGTGCCATTGTTCGACAGTTGTTGTGTAAAGTACTTTAATAAACATATCGGTAACATTAGCCATTAGTGTAGATCTTCCATACACGAATGTGTTAGGCTGTGTGTATGTGAGCGTAGGACACGATGTTAGATGTTATGGACCTAAGACTTAAAGCACACGCTATATCTAAATCTACAAACGAAACGCGGTATTGCGCTTTTCACAAGATTTTACACTCCGTTTATAAGGAGTTAATACAAAAAATTAAGTGTAAGGCTACTTTTCTTTACTATTTACTATGAACGCTTTCACGATCGATTAGTTTATGAGTTAAATGTACGATTAGCTGGCGTGTACATTATAAATAACATGTGTTATACAACTGACCTTAGTTTTAGGCTACGAATAGATATTTTTTAAGAATAAAACATCATTTTGTACTTGTCTAATTATTACCATAGACCTAAGATTAATCAAATTATGTAAACGATAGGAATTTAAACGAAATGAGCTATAAAGTAACTTTTTTTCTTATGGATGTATTTTTTTCTATTGTATACTCATTTAGAATTTTGCATTTATAGATCTTTTTAGTCATATACAATTTTATAGACAGCTAAAATCATTTAATTTTTATTATTATATTTTATGTCTTAGTAGTTGTACTTAATATTGTCCACACAAAACCGTACCATTTTATTATGATTTCATACTTATCTACGACTGCTATTTTATTTAATAATTTCTCATTAAAACGCACATAATTTATGTAATTATTGAGTTTTTTTTTTCTAATTTAATAAAATGGTCTAGTATTTTTTTGTGTTTCATTTAATAATTATTCTTCCTACAATTGTGAAATTTTTCCAGTATATTTTTTCACTAATATTATAAACGCGAAAGTTTGTAAGGATGTATAGATGTATATGCTTGTTATTCTTTCACGCAAAAACTACTGAGTGGATTTTACTGAAACTATACAATAATATAGCTTACATATCAGAATAATTTTATCGCGGAAAAATGTACAGTTCCCGCGAGATAGACTTGCTTTCCTAGACGCAATCCCGAGCGAAGCGAGGGTGAGCTGCTAGTGCTTTAATATAAACAAACTAGTCTTTACAATCGCTATACTTCATGAATGGCAAAAAATTAAAAAAAAATGTTTCTTAACGTATGTATGTACTATGTCGTCCATTATAATGAAACTGCCAACGCATCTTGCCCTCGGTGATGGTACAACGTGGGAATATGAATCAATTTCTGCTCGCTTTGATGTGAAAAAGGCTTAAAACTTGATTATTGCGCATTGAAAGGTAGATTGTTGAGACATTTGGTCTTGATTTTGTTACCGAGAAGTGCATATGGCAAGCTGAGGTTCATCCGAACTCGTTTTGGGGAGCTACCTAGCATTCGAGGTAACTCGTGTCTCTTATGTGATTTGAAACATTGCTTGCGAAATGCGACGTCGACGTTAGGACAAAGCATGTTAAAAAACTGAAAAGAAATAAATGGAACCATTGCTAGCCGGTGCTTTTTCCATGTTCAATACGATTCATTGTAACTGGGAGAAGCGAGAAGTTTTATTTCAAAAATTTCAAAGATACGATGGCGCATGTTTATTTATTAGGTACCTGTATGGTGTACACTGTACCTTATTATTTATAGGAATGGTGGATCATAGACGGTATGTATGGACTTTTACCTATTTTGATGAGAGACTATTTGGCAACGTTTTTTAAATGAATAGTAACTAGTCTGTGATCTTTAAGCGCTTGCAAGCTCTTATTTTATTAAAGTTTATACTCACTGATGACTCATGTCTCGTAAATCGAAAGTAAAGACTTGTTTGATGTCTTGATCAAACAATACAAGTAACAAAAAAATAAAAATACAGATATAGCAAATCAAAGTACACGAAAAATGGACGTATGAGTTATGAGTATTTGTCATCCATGGTTATGAGCTTGTAGGTATAAAAAAATATAAGACATAATTATGTATCTGTATATCTGTATTATTTGAATTGTTTTATCTGTATTTTTTTTGTTTAGTAGTTTACATCATGGATGACAAGTTTACATTCAAAGTCAATGACCACAGATTAAGTATTAGTTACTACGTAAGTCAATGACAAGTGACATTTCGTTCATAATAATTAATATCGAAATTTTATTATTGTAGTAATATTGTAGTTTTAAAGTAAGGGTTTAAAAGATTAGCATCTTATAATTACTACTAGAAAAATTAAAATGGATAGTCCAACAAATAATCACAACAATGCTAAGGAATGCCGAAAAAAACAGAAACAATTCAGCTTAAGAAGAATTAGATTATCTTTAAAATATAGACCTGATATCTACAAGTTAATTATAAACATGAGACAGTGTATAAGAAAGAAAAATGCCTTATTGAAAAGTTTAAAACATAAATTAAAAATTGTAAATATTTTTTGTGGTTATTTTATATTTGTATTTTATGTCATATCATGTCAAGTAACATTTTTTTTATTTTTTAGGAAATTAATAAAACTTTAACTTCATGTACGCAGACTAATACTTATATGATAGATAAAAAAACTGTTGATGTAAATATACAAAGTAAAACAGACTCGTATACCCAAACTGTAGAATTAGAGGCTACACATTCTTCAAATCAAACATCAATCCAAGATGCCAAAGACCTAAAATCAACACCATGGAATATTCAATCCAATGGTGATAATGAAAAAAGCATTGCAGAGCAAGTCAAAGAAGTAGCACAAAGTGCTCTTCAAGAAACTGGAATGGTGTACGTTGAATCTGCAGGAATGTACTATGATTACAAGACTGGTTATTATTATAATTCTGTAAGTATAAAACTATATAAATAATATTTTTATGGATTCATTATATCTTCTTATTTAAAAGGCTTAACTTTTAAGCAATGTGATTTCCTTACTTATGTATTATTTATTGTGTACTATGAAATCAATCATAAAAATCACATTCTTGCTTTAAAGGAACTTGGTCTTTACTACCACACTGATACTGGATGTTATTACTACTACTCTGATGACAAGAAAACTTTTGTTTTTCATTCATATCCTGATAAGAATGCTGAATATGAATCTTTAAAAGCTCATGAAAAGAGAAAAGCTAAGAAAAATAAAAAGGTAAGTTAAAAACAAATTTTGCCTTGTTGTCTGTTATGTTGTTGAATTTATTGTTGATTATAAATAAATATTTTACTCCTTGATTGTATTTATTGATTAAAATGCTTCAAATTCATTGTAATATTATTATGAATTGTTGTTCTCATATAACCATAAAAAATGTATCACTAATCTAAATTATTTTCTTTCAGGTTGCTAAAGATGACATTGAAAACCTGACCAAACAGTTCACTCAGGTTTCACTGCAAGGCTCAACAGCCTTAGGTAAATAAAATGCTAACAAGTTGCTTCCAAATACAAACATATGAAATGTTATATTTCAGGAAAATGAAGATGAAAGCAAACCAAAGAAACGGAAAACTTCCAAGGAAAATGTAAGAAAAATGGAAAGTGAAGATCCTTCTAATGAAGAGAAAACAGATACTAAAAGTGTTGAAACTGAAATTGATGGAGACGAGGAGAAGAAAAGTGAAGCACTTAAAGAAGAACTGGAAGATGGTGAATGCAGTGACACAGCTAGTGAATCAGATAACGAAAGCACATCTACTGCCAGTGATGATGGTAAAGGACATATAACTTTGCCTTTGCCATTCAATTTTACTTTTTACTAAACTATTTTAAAATATAATGTTTGATAATTGTTTTTTTTTAATATAGCTGTATGTGTTTGTTTAAAACAAACTGAAGGTCCTCATTTAAATTAGGCTTGTGGCCTAATGGCAGTAATTAATTTTGTTAAAATTGTGTTAATCGAAGTGTAAAGTAAAATATTCAATGAGTTAATTATACACAATAATTGATAATTAATTTTGTTGTGTTAATACGAATTATGGAACATAAAAAAAGTGTGCACACTGATTTCAAAATATAACTTAAAATTATTTTTCCATTGTTAAGGTGATTTTATTTTTTGGTAATTTAAGTATATACTACCACCTATATATAAAGCAAAGAACTTTGAATATCCTAGTTAGGATAGATTCTTTATTAAGTCGGTCAAAAATATATATACATTTATTTAGTTATAAATTAATATTCTTTTGCAGAATCTGTTGCTAAGCATCACCCACCTTGCATGCGCGTGATTGTTCGGGAAACCAATTTACCTAAGCTGAAAGTAGGCAGTTTGTATCTCATAACCAAAGATGGCGGAACACTTGGAAGGGAGGGTGACCAACATACTATTATTATAAGGGACCATAATGTATCTAGAGTAAGTATTATTATTGTTAATATATTATATCATTGGTTTATAAAAAGGCTTAAAATTTATAAGAAATAATATTGTTTTTTACTTTGGTGCCATTTTTGTATTTTTATAATTTTTTAGGTAGGTGCTGTCTCTGTATTATAATGACGGGATAGTCTAAGGTTTTAGATATCTCAAACCTTAGACTATCCCGTGACTATGATTGCTGTAAAGCATTCAAAACGTCGAGAACTAAAATTTTAAATAAATCCGTGGTAAACATTTGATGTTTTATTTTTAAAAATCAGTGTTCATATCATCCAATTACTTGTATAAATAATAATTTTCAATCGATGTTAGTTCCGATCAGCTTGTTTTTGCTTTGTTTTTGCTTGCCATATTAGCAATGTTTAATTATTGCTAACCTAATAATTTTTTCATTTCAATAACTTTTCCATTTTTTTAATTTATGTTCTAAATAAAGTACATTTCATATTTTGTTTATATAGTTAAAAGACTATTACACTTATTTATGTTTTATTCTTGTAATTTGTAGGCCCACCTTGAAATGAAATACGACATGGATAGAAGAGTATATGTGGCTGTTGATTTAGGGTCTAGAAATGGCACAATTCTAAATGGAACTCGCATGTCGGAAAGTCAAGAAAGGAGCAGTCCCATGGAGGTAGTATATACATCTTCACTGTAGACATAATCATATGTATAAATGTACCATGGTCTATATAAAAAAAACTGCACAAAGAGTAACCTAATGCCTACTTTTACAACATGCTAATTAGAAATTTCTTATGTATAGATACTATAAAAATTTCTTTTCGACACTCTCTCTTAAACTTGCAAGATATATTTTTATTTGCTGCATTACCAAGGACTAGGAAGAAACCGTCGTTATGCTTATATTAACTTTGTAAAGGTCAGCTATTTCAAAATGACAGATCAATACTTGCATTTTAATTCTTTTCCTTTGAGACGTCTAAAACTTAAGTCCATCGTGACCCATGATTGCTATAAAGCATTCAAAACGTCGGCTTTCAGAGATCAAAATAAATCCCCAAAAAAAATCCGAGAAGGTAGTTTTATTTAAAACCTCCAGTTTATTTATATCTAAAGCTTTAATTAATATCTTGTTGTGAAGCGATACTATAACTTTAAAATATTGCAGGTAGTTCACGGCAGTACAATCCAAGTGGGGGAAACTAAGTTGCTGTGTCACGTGCACGCGGGGAACGACACCTGCGGACACTGCGAGCCCGGCCTCATCATGGAGGGTTTGTGTTATATATTCAGACTACAGGAATAAGAAAAAAAATTGTTTTAAACTGTGACATAATGTCCAAAAATACCTTCTCTTGAAAATCATGCACCTCTGGCTAAGTAGGTTCATTGATGCACAGTGCAATAATGGCCTTCTCTGTACCATGTATGTACAGGCTTAGGGCATGCAGTGCTTCGAAATATATTTTTATTACCCTGCCTTTATAATAATAAGTTTATTTGTACTCTAGCTTATACATTACTTACATTTGATATATTAACTATATTATATAATATGGTACACTCCAAAAGAAACTTCTTTTAACTTGGAGTATGATCGCCATAATAAAATCCAAATTAGAGTCCATTTATTAAATTTATTTCATCTGTCATTGATTCATTGAATTTTATATACCAAATTTTTAGTTATCCGTCTAGTATATTCGGAGAAAATAATGTGTGACAGGTGGGCAGACTCACATATAAGGAATACATAATGCTATAAAGATTTTCTTTTAATAAAATAGTTGTTCATAGATTTTTTCGTAATCAATACAGAATAATACGTCCGTTTATTTTTATAACTTAATTATGCTTTTTGCCAGGTGAAGAAAAAGAAAAAATAGCGTACACAAGAACGTGCAGTGTCCAGAAACAGCATCAGCTAGAGTTGGCGAGGCTAAAGAACAAGTACGCGCCGCAACCACTGGCCATCGAAGAGACGGCGTACAACGACCGCGCGCGCGCGCGGCGGCGGGACGTCGGCTCCTCACACCACGCGGAGAAGACGCAGAGCAGTGATATTAACACGTGAGTTTAAAGGAGTCTGCCCACTACACCGTCTCATACCATGACCGTGCTAGGACCGTGTCAGGCAAAAAAACATTGTTTGTATTGAAAAGTATGTGATTCTGCCCACTAGACCATCACCGGACCGGCGCCGTCGCGTGCCGTGCACGGAGCGTCGGCGAGAATATTTTGTCGGTGACGGTACGCTCCGTGCCTGGCACGCGTCGTTGCGGGACTGGTGCGCGCGGGCGACGCAATGCTGAATATACGCAGCACTAAAACCGTTATGTATAGGTATGATACGCTGTTGATACGGTCTTGTGGGTATAGTAGTCCGTGCCATGCTAGTTTCCGTGCCTGATACGTTCATAGCACGGTCATGGTATGAGGCGGTATAGTGGGTAGACGCCTTAATACCGGGTCTGCACACTTGCCATTTCGTTGTACCTATGCTTATCTGTCCAAACGACCAATCTACCGAAAGAGTTTTTAATATATAATTATTGACTTTTAAATGTCATTTCTATTGGTATTAAACATAGACGTAGATAATGGACTTGGCAATATTGTCATGAGATTGACCACTTTCAGAGAGAGAGTCAGAGAGAAAGCGAAGCGAGATTTGTGTACAAATACCGACACTCGATCCGAACTTCGTTGAAGTGTTTGTGTTATACCCGTTTTTTTTAATGTAAACACAATGTACTTTATATATAGAGTGACTACATGTACCAAATACAAGTACATATTTTCTAATATATTATTAATTATTACTATCTCGGCGCAATCGGACTACTAGTATTGTTAAAGCGAAAGTTTTTAGCTGTGTGTATGTTTGGTAATCCTTCATGCCTAAACGGCTAGTCAGTTTTTGATGAAATTTAATACATAGGTAGACCTTGATCTTAAAAACTCATAGGCTATTGTTAGGTCATACTCAAGCGAAGCGTGGGTAACATGAAATTGGCTGCGGTCATAGTTCATACGTTATTGTATGAGCTTAATATATTGGAAGATGTTGTAGACGTAGTAAACGCAAATAAAACTATATGTTGAAACTGGTTGATTTCTACGTAACTTTTTCCCTAATTGTCGTTTTTATAAAGTAGATCTAACGTTCAAATGTTAAGCAAGGTCACACATGTGTGTGTCATGTGCAAAACAGAAAAGCACACAGGCGTTCGCACAAACTAAAACAAATATATTATAAAATATTGAAAGTCACATATTTTAGAAACATTAAATATAATAAATATAATAATATAGTGAAATTTTGTATAAAGATAGAAAGAAAAAGTTTCGATACCAGACAGATATATGATATAAGAAACTGGTCATGGTCACTGCAAACTAAAGTCAAATATTATAATAATATTTATCTAAAGATTTATATAACATTTTTTTCTTTTTCATACAATATTATCTATGTTGTAACAGGTTCATAGCAGAGGAAAACAAAGGCTTCAAGTTATTGGAGAAAATGGGCTGGTCTAAAGGAGAAGGTCTCGGAAAAGAAGGTCAAGGAGATACAGAGCCGGTAAGATAAATCTATATATAATTGACTAAATTAAGACTTATTTTTATTGAATCGTGAAATGAACTATTACTTCCACTAAGTCATCCTGACCGATTCCGGCTACGGCGGCCAATCTCATGGAGACTAGCCGACTGCGCAGGAGATATTATAGTGCACAAGTGTACGCGCAGACACAAGTGCACTCTCTATTCCTGTCACTCTCATACTCCGGTGGGACGACCGCTCGACACGACCGCTGAGAGTTAAGGCGCAGGACCGACGGCTTTACGTGCTCTTCGAGGCACGGGGGTGAAACACCGCCAACTTCCCAACTCCGGGCTGTTACTGAGGCTCACTAAAAAAAAGACTCAATAACTAAACTTGACCCGACCTGGGACTCGAGCCCAGGACCTCCGAGTGTGCAGCCGTACATGCTAGCCACTACTCCACCGAGGTAGTCAACTCTAATTACTTCCACTATCTCGTTTAAAACAGCGAACTACATAGATTAGGTCGAACTAGTTAACATGTGACAGCTGGGTCATAACCAAAGCCGGAAAATCATACAGGAAATCATATCTATTAAATGATTCATAACTCCCATATTAAGTCCTAATACTTCCTTTCTATAAGCAAAACTGGGTTTCCAAGCTAGATTAAGATAAAGTCGTCTATCTTTTGACAAGCATTGAGAGAAGCTAACGCAATGAAATATTATATCTCCATTACGGTCCGACGTGACTAATTAGTTCATCTGAAGAATATATTTAATGTTCCCGCAAAAAGTTGAACAAAAAATGGCTGGAAAATCGCGCATCGGATTGCTGCGATTAGGGTTCAGGCATTGTTATATTATTTTTATATTATGAACAGTTTTGTGGCTGTTGTAACTGAGTAGGTCTGTAATAAATGGGACGTATTTTATATATTTTTTAAACCTAAAATATATTAATTCATATTACAATTTTAAAGCCAAACTCACGAGTGGACTGTTGTATAAATAAAAAAAAACAACAAATATTCCAAGCTCTAAAACCTTAATTATAATTAAATTTAGATGATTTTAAATATTTTTTTTGTAAATATAAAACCTGTTATATAGGTACAATTCTGTTGTGATAATAAATAAACGAAAAATTCAGCACAGGTATAATACATATCATTACAGAATATATGTAGCTTGTTTTTGTTCCATTATAATTCGTACGAAAACGCTTAATTTAACTATAAGCATTAAAGATGATTTAAGTGAATTTGAGTTTTATGTATTTTTAACGATTGTATCGAAAACACATTTATACGTAATTGATTTATAAGTACTACAATTATTTTATCTTTACCCGCGAAACCCTAAAACCTTTTATTTTCGTAATAACTGGCCGTCTGTCTGTAGGTCAGCCGGGCGTGGGCCTACCTGCACATTTAAAACAATTTGCATACTTTTTTTTCGATGTTTAGATTAGATGCGGGCGAATGACGGTCTGCCATTAACTTGTGTCCAGACGGTGACGTTAAGGGCAGTGCTTGCTTACACTTTTTATAACATCTTATGAATTCGCACCGTGACTCAACAAACTGAACTAAAACCGAGATTTGAGATTAAAAAGATAGCTTTAAGTATACTAAAACAGACATACATTTTTTTTAATTAATCTAAATATAATCGTATAACAAGCACATTTTTAATAACGCATAGCTACAATATATACCAAACTAAATGTAATCTTTTAAACGGAGCGAATATTAAAATTTCTTTATATAGATTCCATAAATACAACTTCCTAACATTTTATCATATGTTAAATGCAATAAATTAAAATTTAACAAATAAACAGAATTTTATAATAAATTATCATCTGCTATGGTGTTTTGTTTCCGATAGAATTCTCATAAATCTTGGTGCCGATGTGCTCTCGTACAAAGAGAGAGGTGACTCCGTTTAATTATAGCCACTTGATGCATTATATCCTACCCCCGGGATTACAAATGTCTTTGGCTAATTATTCATAGCAATATATTCTTTATAGATGGGATTTCCTTCTTAGATCTATATATATAAAACAAAGTCGGGCTTGGTATTATAAGTGCTGTAATACTTATAACTCGGGAACTGCTAGACCGATTTATATGATCTTTGTTTTGTTGTCTTCACCCCGAATAACAGAAAAAATATTAAAACATCGGAAAAACCTTCGACGACATCATTGTATCAAACACCAAGACACAGTTTCTCCCATGACCATGATTGCTGTAAAGCATCTGTGAAAAAATCAAAAAAGGAAGTTTTATTTAAAATGTCAAATATTCGTGTAATCTAAAAAAGTATTGTATCGAAATTCCTTTATAAACAAGTAGTAGTAGTCTCGTTACACTCGTACTAACTGCTATCTATCGTTTCCAAGTATAATATGTATTATCCAACTTTAATTGGGTAAATATTAAAGTTGGATACATTTAAAGTGACAACGTACTCGTATATATTACAACGTAAATATATAATACTAGCAACTCACCCTCGCTCCGCTCGGGTTCGTTCCTAGTTACGTTTTAACGTTTAGTATAGATTTCTCAGAGATGAGATATTTTCCCACAGTAAAAATATCCTATATGTTGACCCTGATAACCAGCTACCATCATACCAAATTTCATCAAAATCCCTCCAGTGGGTTTTCCGTGATGCGGTAACAGACAGACAGACAGACAGACAGACAGACAAAAATCACAAAAACTATAGATTCGGACTCTGTATCGATAATAATGTCTATTTCAAGAAGATTTTCCAAAAAATGTTTAATGTACAGATTCGGCTTAGTTACAATTTTATTATATGTATAGATTAAATAGGATTTTCAGGATATACCTACATGTAAAATATCCATAATACTACAAAAATTAAAAATTTTCATAAAACTATACGTACCATATCTACCATGTGTCAGGTTTTTCATTCGTTATTAGAATATTAATGGTACAAAATAGACTTAAAATAAATCAATATAAGAAAAAAGCAATCTTGTAGTAGTGGTTTAGATCCTATAGCAAGAATTACAAATGTCATGACTGATCTGTATCATTTTGCATATCAATCCATCAGGAATTAGATTTATGATGATAAATAAATCAGTAAGTCGAGTCAGGTCAAGCGGTCGCTAATCTGCCCTACAGTACAAATGGCTACATTACGTTGATATACTACGGTAACAATGCTTGGCAACTTAAGAAATCAGCACTCATATCACGAGGCTTTAATGTTTCGATAACGTCTCGAGTGAAGGGAATGAGTTACGTTAACTTCATTTGATGCCTAATCTGGTACTTATGGAAATTACGTTTTTAAAGTTTTAATGTCGATATATTCAAAACTAGCATCGCCCGCGGCTCCGGCCCGCGTTCAGATGACCTAAAACCAAATTCTTAGGTTTTACATATTAGTATACATTGCAGTTTTTGTATTTTTTCTCAGAAATGAGATATTTTCCCGCGGTAAATAGTATCCTATATGTTGACCCGGATAACCAGCTATCACCATACCAAATTTCATCAAAATCCCTCTAGTGGTTTTTCCGTGATGCAGTAACAGACAGACAGACAAAAATTCTAAAAAACTATAGATTTGGCCTCTGTATCGATAATAGTGTTTATTTCAATAAGATTTTCCGAAAAATATTTAATGTACAGATTCGACTTAGTTATAATTTTATTATATGTATAGATTAAAAAAAACGACTGCGTTAGTTATTTTTCGATGCAAGCTCTAACAAAACTAAAAAAGTTTAATAAAGCTTGCTTCGAAAATGGTGGTACTTAATATGACATGTAATCTTTCCTACGGCCAAATATTTGAGCATTCTTTGAAAGGACGATGTCAGTGAGCAAAATTTATATGTACAAATTTTATTCATATCATTTACGCTCCACACTCTTTGTGACTATTCCATTTATCAAAATAAATAGTAATAAAATATGTATTAACTCCACCAACTGTCCCTTATTTCAAGTGATTTTTCCTTAACAAAAATCTTTTCCAACAATACCTACGTTTTACAAACAAGAATTAGTCACTTTCTTAGATTTACGCGAATATTTGACTCACATGGTCCAGTCTCTCTCGTGACCATGAATGCTGTAAAGCATTCGAAGCGTCGGGAACCAAAAATCAAAATAAATCCGCGAAATAATTCGAAAAGATAGGTTTTATTTAAAATGAATTAATCAAATTAATAGAAACGCGTTGAAATCATAACTATAATTTTCGCTTGATATATCTGACCGCTATAGCTTCAGAGGCAATTTAGTCATCTGTCGCATGTCTGCCTTAAGGGCTGCCATTACTGCAATCAGACGAATTGACTCCATCTATCATGATCAATACGTGTCTGTAATTATGCTGAATTATAGACGGTCAGCGCATAAAGCTATTGAACTTAATTATTTTACATTTTTCAAATTTCAAATTCTATATTGAGTTTTACTGTTCAAAATAAAAAGTTTTGACGGCAGCTTTACTTGGCTATATATTAAGAGCTGTATCATTAATCTTCGAGAGATTTCATGCACAATTTCTGTTTTGATGAGATTCTCCCAGTCACAAAAAGTACTGTTTGGGGAGTGATGTTAGGCATAATTCATTAGCATTCGACGACCTGAGAGCAATATACCATATATTGTTCACAATGTCAGACGTACAAGCCAAGCGAATGTTTATTTAATGGGCCTCATTCGAATTGTCTTTTTATCTTTATCGTCATCAACCCTATGTAACCCGCTAGCAACATTGTAATAAGGCACGATTTACACATCATATTTCATCGACGAATGAGACGCAGCCACAGGTCGCGGTCGTATTGTATGTCATTAAGAAAAGCATACCTACTGCCGAGGAATTCGAATCCCTTATTATCTCTATAATAAGGCTGAAATTCCTATTTTACTACGTCAAAATACCGTTGTCCGCCGTACTCTCGTGCTGATTATAAGTAATTTATGCTAGAGATTAGATGACGGAGATTTGATCAGAACCA